CTTTTAGAAAAACTAAAGTGAAATAAAGCACCTAACGTTCCTTACGAGCGACAGTCTAACAGGTGTGCTCAGCAGCAGCGGGTCAGCCGCAGCGCATCAGATTAAGAACCGCTCGCGTCGCTTCGCACAACGCTATTTGTGCGCCGACGTGTCTTAGCGTAGCCCGCGCGACCAGTCGATAGTTAACTAGGCGCTCTCTGTTGCTCTGCCCGTACGTTTCATAAGTATTTTGTATTCTTCTTTTTTACTTATGGACGCCGGACGCGGCGGATGAATCCCCCCTACCGTTACTACCACTATAGGCTAAGCGGCGGTACAGCCGCATCCGTTTTGTGCAGTTACACTTCGGGAGTACGGCAAAATGGCCACTTCCACAAAACTGTCTTTCCGTGCCCGAGCACTCGATTCCAACAAGGCAATGTGCGTCTACTATGCTTCCGAGCTCCCAGATCTCTCAGACTGTACGCCAATTGCACGTGCGGTGGCACAAATGCCGACAGGAATGGAGAAAGAGGAAGAAATGGTTAGTTCGAGCTAAGGATGGCTGTTATTGATTATTTTTCAAAGTTTTAAACTTATCCATATCATATTCTCATCATGTTAATCTCCGTTTTTTCCTCTACAAGATCCTATAATTTTTTTTTAACCTCGTATGATATATGCTTTTCAACCTTATCGTGTGACGTCATCCGCGATTTGGCCCGACTATTGATCGGCCCGTGCGTGGCCGCCTTGTGTGTAGTGTACTCGGCGGCTGGGCGCTGTTTCTTGATGAATAGCCATATGTCATGTTAAGAAAAGAAAAAAGCTGAAAGTTATAAGTCTTTATTTGAATAATTCAATAACTTTTAGGAGTCTCATCTTCAAGATGCAATTATCGCTCAGCAAGCAAGTACATCGGGAATCCGAGTAGATAATCATGTTATTCCTACACCAAAAGTTTTCGAAATTAGTAATAAAAGATACGATGAAATATATCCTCCTCAACCCTCTCCGCCAAAAAACCACTATATTAAAGTTCAAGGTAAAATAAC